ATAGCAAAAGATCTGTTTTTTCCCTATTTTATACGGCATGCAACAAAGAAAAGGAAAATGTAGAGACAAGCTTTTATGTACTGAATGCTCCATTTGATGCAGTTTAAAATCTTGGCACTAAGATAAATGCAGCTTTGTTTTCCGTAGCACTTTTATTATACAAGGTGTGATGATAAGAACAGAGATCAAAACAGTCTCTTCTTCAGCAATTGCGGAACTGACTTTGAATTCAGCATCAGACATGTTATTTTATAACACTCTACCTTGAAAAGTAGATATCCTGATAAGAGAAAAAGTTTATAATAGGAAGCAATTTTAAGGGAACTCCTGGGTGTCAAGCCTTTTCTTGAAGCAAACAGATCTGAAAGTGTTTCATTATCTGTCCTATGCAGTTTTATTAAGAATCAGTACAATCATACTGTAGAATTTTGCATCTTCAAAGTACTCATGTTTTTCTTCTGTCTGCCATGTGTGGTGCCCTCTGCTGCACAACTTTGCATTAGCAAGACAAATGCAGAGGGAACTGCATCAGTTACAGGGCATTTTCCACCAGCATCTCATAATGGCTTATCACTTGTTTTCCTAATAATTTTTCATCCCATATACATAAAATATACTGTGAGTATTTGCAATTGATATTAATCTTTCTTATCAGGCAGGGTTTACAAAGGGGAAGAGGAGAAAGAGAGGAGTTTACACCATGACCTGCTAATTCATTTACAGAGCATAGTTCAGCTACTGATTGTATTCTGAATACCAGCTTATGTGTTTTATATATACACACGTATACATTTACATACATATGTGTAATGCTAAGGTTGAAGCATGGAAATTCTTGTTATTGATACTTGTTTTTCCATCTCGACTAACTCTGGAAGAAGCATTAGGCATTTGGGTCATGCTTTTTCTAGTTGCTGTTTGCTGCTATGATGAAGAAACAAGTCATTAAAATAACTTGTAACAAGTTGATATATATAGTTTTACTTGCAATCTGTTGCTAGAGGCGTGATATAATTTTGTCAGTTGTATATCAAAGAAAAATCTGTTGATTTTTGATGTTGAATTGTTGGAAAGAGCTACAGGGTTTTTACGTAAATATTTCCGGAGTGATCTCAAGGTACCTGAAGGCCAAAGACTGAAGATGAAAGGTCTGAAAATTTCAATTTATTAATTCCCCTTTCTTTTCTTTGCCTCTGTTAATTGAAGCACCTTGTGTTCGTATCATCATAGCCTGAGGCTGTCCTTGAATAAATCGGTGCATGAGTTTTTTAATTACCTACCCAAGCTGGATTTGAACTGCTTACTCTTGCAAGTACCAAAGAAGAAACATTCACCAGTAGTTGCTAATGCAACAGCAGGGAAAAACAACTGCCTCCAACTTCCTAGCACCAGCATCTAACTTTGCTATCAACAAACCTAAACACCACAGCGCTTGAAATGCTGTTGGGTGCCAGTGAGATACAGCACAGCTTCCAATATTACTGCACAAAAAACAATGTTATCAACAGGAGACTTAAGTTAGTTAAATTATATTAAATAAAATAAATTTAGAAGTTTTAAAATTTCTCTAGGAACAGCAAGCCTTTAAGATACTGATCTCAAGTAACTTGCTGACAAAATGAGTACTTTTAGACAGTGTTTTACTGTGATTTACTTAGGAGTTGAAAATACAAAATTTTCAGTATACCATAACTGCAAATGTGAGTCCTGTATAAAGTCTTAGACTCTGCTGGTTTTCACCATCGAGCTCCAATGAGTGCTGCTATCGGCACCCAACGACTGAAGCAACAGAGATCTGCTCCTTGGCACACTGTGGGGGCTCTCAGGGGGCTGTTTCACCCAGAAAGCAGAAATTGGCCGTAGGGTCTTGCTCTCGAGACCTTCAGAAAAGCTGTAGGAAAAGGTAAGCCTAAAAAAAAAGGGGTGAAACGCCAAAATGTTAGTCACATGAATTTAGTCAAAAATTTGCTATCAGCTTATCTGTAGCTGGGTATCATCCATTTTGAAGTGATGCTTTCTGGCTGATGATACCGTATGAGTCATGAATGTCCTGATTCTGTCATGGGTCTTGCAATATTCAGCACTTTTTTTCTTAAATCTAACCCTCTTTGGAATCCAGTGATTCATGGCTCTTGGAGGTTTGAGTTTGCTCATCGCACAAGATTTTAACAGCCCGTTGAGCAAAAAATAGAAAACATGACCAAGTTTATGCTAAGTCTTCCAAATACTGAAGGCAAATTATAAAAATTGTGTTAAATATTTAATCTCATTGCCGGGAGCTCATTTTTCAACTGGTGGCTTTGCACTGCAGCTTTCACCTTTTCCAATCTATTTCCGCATTTTGTCCCAGGCACCGAGAATGGTCAGGAAAAGACATTGGCCATTAAAAGATGCAAAATCACTCCTGGCAAGAAAAGCAAGGAGGCATTTGGCCATTTTCTATCCAGGCTGGCCGCATTTATTCCAGTGATCCCCAAGGATCTTGATGTAACTGTGCTTGTGCCTAAAGAGCTGCTCGTTACGGCAGCGCCAAGGTCCGTTTCAAGGTCTCGTTGGCTGCCGCCCTGGTCAGTCAGGCAGGGCGGGAAAGGGGCCTCGTCCATGAGGGAGGGCGGGCTGCGCACCTGTCAGTCAGGCAGGGCGGGAAAGGCCATTGGCTGGGCAGTCAGGGCGGGAAAGGGGCCTCGTCCGTTAGGGAGGGCGGGGCCAGCGCCTGTCAGTCAGGGAGGGTGTGAAACCCCTTTGCTCAACTCTGTGCTTTTTTACAGAAAATTTCTCCAAAATTTCTGGCTTTTTCTCTCCTGTTGACCCCGCTGTTGGAGCTCAAAGAATGAGTTTTAAATCCAGCACCCAGAATAGCTTTTGGTAATCTCTTTGCTCGTCGCTTTTGTTTCTTCTTCAAAATGGCTTCGTCCCCTCCAGGGAGGCTGGGGGGCTCCGTGGAGGACCCCGGGCCGTGCTCCGCCACGGTGCCTGCCAGGAGCGAGGCTGGCTCCCAGGAGGCTCCGTCCCGTCACAGGAGCCACGTGCCCAGGTAAAACGTGGGAAAAATGGCACCTGCCCAACCCTTCTGTGGAAGGCAAGAAGTACCAAAAAAAAAAAAAGTGGGGAAAAAGAGTCAATTTCATATTGATTACTTCACTTAAAAAACCTAAAGCTTTTAGTTGCCCTTTATAAAGACTTTCAGTAGAGAGTGTATCATTCTCAAGGGCTTGGAAAAGCAGCATCTTAATAGAAATTTTAAAAGAAAAAGGATAATAAAATAAGACGTCTCAAGAAGTTCTTGGTCTTTCTTACAGGTCTAGGATCTGCACGTTTCTAGCAGTTTCCTACTCGGGTTCTCAGAGTGCATTGGTTTAGTATGTTGCAGATTTTTATTTGTAACTGTTTCTCTTGTGCATATTTAGTTGCTTGCTAAAGGTACCATCAAATTAATCTTCTTTCATGCCAGTAATGTTGAAGACCATTTAATGTGCTATACAGGGACCAGGATCTACCCATGCTGCAGCCTGTCAGGAATGAGCTGCAGCCCTGGGAGATCCACAGCGCCTGCCCCTTCCCAGCTCCGATTTCACTGTTAGCTAAAGCAGAATGAATTTTAATAGGCATGCTTGGCCAGCACTATATACTTATTAAAATTCTGTTAATCTCTGCAAGGGGAGCTGGAACATCAGCTAGCTGTACAGAGAGAATCGCTGCCCTCTTTCCCCTGTATTGTCACATTTACAAATTCTGCTGATCAACAAATCAAGAAATGGGGAATCCAAAAGAAACCCAGACTTCCTAATCCTGCAGCAAAATTCAAAGCACATATGGAATATGAAGCATAAACAGAATCAAGTGATGAAATAAAGAATATATGAGTAGCAAAACTATCATATTTTATTTTTCCTACCTACCTGTCCATTCCTTTATTCATTCACTTATGCATATTTTTTTCTCAACTGGTAAGTTTGAGTTTTGCACTGTAGTCGACTTTGATTATCTATTTTACTATAACCCTTTGCTGTATTATATGTCATCCCACAAGCTGACCCTGTTCTTTCTACTTAATAGATTTTATTTTTAATTTTGAGGGATTATACCATGAGTCTGAAAATCAAGGAATCTTGGACATGATTATGAAGCAATAATAGAAAGGAAAACTTACAACTAGGTTAAATCATCATTGCTGGTTTTGTAGTGCTACATTAATTCATTTTATGTGAATGAGTGCTAGTATTTGTTCTTAATACATTATTTAATGATAAAATTGGCCTTTGCTGATAAATCTTTCAGCTAAAATAAGCAATACTCTTGTCTATTCCTTTAATTCCTACTTAAACTTACAGTTTTATATAGCACCCTTACATGTTTAAGCAATCTGATGCCAGCACTTCAGCTCTCCTTATGAAAATAAAAAGCATCTGTCATAACACTCTACAGCCAGTACTATTTTGCTGTAGAGGATCTGCTGCAAGGCTAGTTTGCCTTTTAATTTTTTTTAGGTGAAAGTTATCGATTTTATTCTTTTCATAGTGAAATTAAGCCTTCATATAATTAAAACCCTCAACAGTTTGTTCGAGGCAGCAGATCAAGAGGTTAATATGCAGTGGTACAACAGGAAGTATTTGTACTCTTGAACTTTTTTTTTTTTTAATTTACAGCATTTAAAAACAAATTAGCCCAAATCAGAGCCAAAGCCAATATTACATCACTTAAAGTAAAACATTAATCATTAGTAACAAACCAGCCAGTTGGTCCCACAGTTCAGCTGGTTGAAAACCTGATGGTTTCAAAGGTGAATAGAAATGCACTTTTAAACTATGCACTCTGTGTTTCATCTGAAATGGAAAGTCAAAGATTTCATCGAAAATAAGCAAAATAAACCTCGAAAGCAAAACAAAGTTCCTGCATATTTTTAAGACTAGTATCTTCTTGAAATGGTTTTGAATTAAAAGATATTCTATATAGTGTTGAGAATAATATGAATGATAATAAAATGAATAAATGCATGCAAAATGAATACAATTCGAACTGTATTTAATCATATGAAGAGTATCACACATTTGCTTTCTTTCAGTTCTGAAGTTCTTGAAGCAATAGAAAATGTTGTTCTAAATGTACTTACAAGCTTGGGCAAACAAAAAGCACCTGTGCTCACAGTAGCTAACAGATCAGATTGGAGGAATATAGAGTAAGTGTTATAAATTTTAAAGACCTGCATTATATTTATAGAAATGGCATGCATATATAGTTGATCGTATAACTTCCAAAAGTTACTCTTGCATTCGTTCTATTGGAACTAACAAATAATTTACTTCTTGAAAAGTAATGGACAAATAAAAAGAGATACTCAGAAACCCCTCTGCATGAACAGCTATAACATCCTCATGATGTTGTTTCCTCAAACAATAACAATGACCTGCTCTTCTTCAAAAAAGATGATCCTCTCAATGCTTTATCTCTTAGCTCCATACTGTGTCCGTAAGTTGTTCTAAGTTCATTTCCAACCCAAAAAAGTAAACCAAATTTATGAATGTTAGCTGACTTCTCGATTTTATGCTAGTTTATCTAGACAGGTTCCTTTGTAACACATTGTGTGATTTGCTGAAGTTGCCTGTGGAACAGTGTTTTTCTGAGGAGGTGAAAATGCCTGAATCTGCCAGATTAATTGCTTTCAATAATAACAATGCAAAAGGATCAAGAAAGACACAAATCCCTTTCTTGTCCTGCAAGAGCTTTGCATATCAGAGGGTTAAAGGATATTTTGATCACTAGGATTGCAGAGGTGTTTGACTGACCACGTTACAAACAACTGGGGTTGAGAAAATAGAGCAAACCTTCCACATATCCACTTTGGTGGAATCCTTACGTAATGAGAATAATACATTTCTGTCAGTCAAAAAACCCGAAGGGCCTGAAGGTAATCAGTTAACTGAAAAGTGTGCATGGTCCAGTGGATTTAATGGGTTATGTCCTGATAGTTTGACAAAAAATGTTTCACTCAGATGTCAGTAAAATTAAAATACTATAACCAAGTTTTGCAATTTTTGGCAATCTTGGAGGAACTGGCATTCCCAGCTAGAAAAACACATGCGGGATGTTATTTGCCATCAGGTCACATAGAGGGGGAAAAAATGGTCAAATTAAAGCAAGTTAACATCACAGTATGTTTAAAAATAAGACTCATCAATCAAATTCAAAAATGTTAACAAGTATTTATGATGATGAAATGTAATCTCAGATATGCAATTCCACAGAATAATAACCAATACCCCTCTTTAATATGGCACTGTAGGAAGTAGTTGTTTACAATAAAAACAAGTAACCAGATAAAAACAAAAGTTCAAAATGTACTAGGAGCTAAAGGAAATACAGTCAGTGGGGTATGCACCTTTTTTTCAGCGAACCTTTTCATACCTAATGCACAGCTTGGATCTATAGGGCAGGACCTAGTAGGATGAGAGAATAATTTCATGTTTGAAGCGTTTCTTGGAAACATTTGTAGGGACCCAGAGAGATAGTTACCTGAGAATGCGCTCAGCGAAATGCCAATCCTAAAGCAGTTCAACTGGTTTTCATTGTCCAGCTGTGCCTTTTGTTTGCCAGATTTCCCAGTTGTGGAGACAAGGCTGTTTAGGGAATTATTCTGTGAGGGTAAAGACAATTCCAGGCACTGTTGCTGAGGGATTGATGTAAAGCCAGCTTGATTGTTTTTAAATTTTTTTGTTAATGAAGTGTGGGAATCACATGGATCAGACTTAGACTCTTAAACCTATTGTTTCCTAAAACGAGTGCTCCCTGTTTACTATAGCAAAGAAATCCAGCAAACTGTTTTCTTCACAGAAATTTAATCTTGTAAAGTTACAATGTAGGGAACATGCAAGTGAAAAGCAGAGATATTTTTTCTCGCACAAGCACGGGAGAGTTCCTTTAAATAGAAATGCAGAGGGCACAGTGTGCTGTTCACTGCTGTCATCTCCCATGCCTGCACCGTGTGGTGTGTTCTGCCACCCAACGGATGTATGATGCAAAAGCTTGGACAAAGAAGTAATTTAGAAAGATTGTGCTGTTTTTTGTAAAATTAGGGATATTTTACCATGGATACTTTTTGAAAGTATCACACAGTGATAGCTAGGAACTCCACTGAAATTGATGGGACCCTATATTAAATCTGAAAAAAGGAATAGAATATTTGATGAGAGAAAAGGCATCTTATTCTGAATTATCCTGAAGAGAATGATTTAGAGTATCCTTACATCATACGTTTACACTTTTATTGTATTTGTTTGCAATGTATCAGATTTGAAGATTCTGTTGGTCTACAGATGATACCATGTTGTACCATCAAAAAAATAAGAAGCGACTGCTCTAACTCAGCACCAAAATTTGGTAAGTTAAAACAGTCCAAAAGCAGAATTCTTTTTTTTTTCCTCTTTTAGTTTAAAACTTTGTAGAAAAAATAAATTATGCATTCTGCTTTAGAAGTGTAAAATTAATAAAAGCCAGTCCTTCAGCCTTTCCCTTCTCTATTAAATTATAGTGTGGGTTACAGTGAAATTCATACAGAGTTCTTATAATTTCCACCCTCCCTGACCACTTATCAGCTGCAGACGTATTTAAAAGATCTTTATAGAAAAACATCATCCTTCCTTAGAAAACTTACTACAGAGGAATCTTGGAATATGGACAGCAAAAACTCCAAGTCATTTCATGGCCTGGATACCAGAGCATACTTCTCCTCAGTTAACTCTCATGGCCTGGATACCAGAGCATACTTCCCCTCAGTTAATCATATTTTTTCTCATTATTCTAAAAATTTAGTCTGTTGATTAGTATAGTTTCTCTGTGCTTTCACAGCATATTAAAATATGTATGTTCAAACTGTATTTACATTTTTTTAGGTTTTATGAGACACAAATATGGCTCAAATAAATATAAATTATTGCATACACATTTCTGAAAAGAAGGTTGTTCTATCAGTGCTAGTTGTTAAACAGCTTAAATCTATTTCTTATTTGGTAAACATCAACCAATTAATATATTTTCTAAATGTATTTTTTTCAGCTCTGATGCTCAAAATTTTGTCTATGATCTATAAGATGGTGCAGAGCAATACTTATGCAACTAAAAGGTAATACTGCATTTCTGTAACTCCAGTTGAGATTGTATTTTATGAATGTTATTGTGAAAGACAAACAGGTATATATCTGTAGAATAACACACGTCTGTACATTAAATGTAGGTTTAAATTGGTCTAATTATCCTTGCCCTCAGTAAAATGTTTTTCTTCACTCTCTCAAGCCTACAGCTTTTTCAGTATTATAAGTACAAATACACTATTCTATCTTTATAGAGATATATATTACACAGATACAGTACTGTTTGGCAGCCAGAGTATTGTGGACAATATAATCAATGACATTTCTTGCATGCTTAAGATACCTCGGAGAAGCCTACATATAGTAAGTAGTTTATTATTATGATTTTTTTTCATTATTTTGAACTCATATAAGGTATACTGAAAGCTGAAATATCAAGAAAGTGATTAGTAAGAAGTATTCAGTGAAACTTTATGTTTATTTGTCATGGTATTCAGAGGCTCCTTTTTTCAGAGAAAATACAGAGATAATTCCCTTGTTTCAAGGAGTTTGGGAACAAAATCCTTTACCTAAACAAATTATTTTAGCCAACTCATTGAGCTAAAATCACTAGACATTTTGCTATTAACCTAGTGAAGGCATAGTTTAAACACATGGGTGCAACACAATCATTCTGCAATTTGTGCTTAAATGATTTGTCAAGTTCAAATTGATTTGTATCTCATGCCTTATAAGAATTCCTTTGTATCTATAAATGTTATTAACAAAATTTATTGTAAATATTCCTTCATATCTATGAAGAAAATAGCTTTGTTCAGTGTTAAAATGTTGATGACAGTCAATAATTGCTTATTACTGCTCACAGTTCTTTCCAGAAGTTTCTTGTTTTACCTATGCAATATAACAACAACTTATTATTTTTTTCAGCTGTCTACAAGTAAAGGTTCTGTTGCTGGTAATTTAAGTTATACTGAGGAAGATGGTACAAAAGTGAATTGTACCTGTAGTGCAACAGTATGTATTATAAATAGCAACAGTAATTCATAGTTTCTACCTTTTTGGTGTATTTTTTAATCCTGTACTTACTGTAGCCAAAGTTATTAAACATATTTATTATAAAGACCAGTGCTTGTGGCACACAAGGAACTCATGGGTAAAAATGAGAGAAACATTCTTGCTCATCTCTTTGATGGACTGGCCTGCCACGAGTCTGTGAGTCTGCGGATGCCTGATTTTAAGCTGGCCCTTTTCATGCTAACCCTTTCTATTACAGTGTTCTGACAAAGAAAGGCTCTGAACTGCAGAATCTTGGGTTCTCTCATCGTATTTAATTTCAGTCACAGTAGACTGATTTCCTGAAGAGTGAGAAAATAAGTCTAATAGCTTGAGTACTCATCTGGTTCTCAAGGTGCTGCTTCTACTGGAGTGGACAGGTTCATCTGGCAGTAACAGAACAAACGAGACTGAATTTAGCCTCTGTATTTAGAAAAAAAATATATATATCTCTTTCTGGACCCGAATATCTTCTCATTTACACAAGTTCAATGCTGATATGCTGTCAGCTATAAGGATTGATATTCTCTCTGTGGGCCCAGCATCTCATAATCTAACGTGAGCCTGTTAGGTCTCAGAAAGAGCTTTTTATATCAGTTTTACAAGAATTACAGACATTAGAAGAGTTTGCATTGCCATTAATTGTACCAAAGGTGGAAATGGACTACAGAGAAGTTAGTTACATTTTCAAAGGCAATCAAGAGCTAGAAGTGGATTGAAGAGATGAGATTCAGCTAATCTAATCCTAAAAGCTTTCTCTTTAGGCATGTAGAATATGAAAGTGGGAGCAGAATGCAGAGTGTTGTCATGGCCTCCTGGAAAATGTGTCCATTAGAAACCTAGGCGGGTAATTTCAATATGGAAAGACAACCTTAGCTACATATTGTTGTTTTTGTTTAAGCGGAGCCTAATGACCTCTCTTATTAGCACTGTTCCACAGCTCTCTGTATTTTCATTTGTTGAGTCATTCCACTCTGGCACCTGAGGTGATCTAGCAGTCAGAGTAAAAAGAGACCACACACTTCAGTATACACATATTTGCTTGCCAAGTCTTCTTCCATTTCCTGTTTTTGCATCCATATGTTTGCCAGATTGAGCCAATCTTAATATGAGATGTAAAGTAAGCATTGCCATATCTTAAAATAATTGCTACCAAACAGTTGTAAAATCAGGTTATAGTTTGATAAAAGAAAGAATTTAACAGTCTTTCAAAAAGAATGGTTAGATGTTTTAAACTTATCTTGAATTAGCAGTCTTCACACTCAGATGAGTATTTTCTGGATAAAACACAAAATTAACCAGGACAATGTTATCTCTGTAGTGGCCATGTGAGGAATAACCTTCTATGACAGCAGCACAAGGGCATTCTCCAAAAGCATCTTTTAGTAACTGGAGAACTTCAATACAACTATATAATAAAAAAGGATATAAATGATCGAATATGCTCATAAAGCACTGAAAATGTCAAGAACAATCTTGTATATAAAGGTGAATGGTTATTTCAGGATATAATTGTGTCTTTCATTACCTAATGTTGTTATTTTAAAATAGATCATTTTCTCTATTTAAAATGATTAATTTCATTTTTGTTGTTTTAGGCAGTCTCTGTGCCTTCTAATGTTGAAGGAATTAAAAGTATCCTTTGAGCAAGAACGCTCATTGTAGACTGAAAAAATAAAGTATAAACAAAGAATATTGCAAGTTAAACAATGATTTGGTAATTTTTTCTTTGCTTGTTGGCTCTGAAATTGAGTCATGAGCACTGCCTTTGCCTCTAGAAAATGTATGATAGAGCATTTGGATTTAATTGATTTGTGTGGTGGATCATTTTACATGCAGCTAGCCTTAACATTTAAGATTTAATCTCACATGCAAAATTTATGCTAATTGTAGAAAAAGATGCAACTTTTCAGAGACTCCTGGATGATGACTTCTGCAATAAATTGACCCCATGTATCATGATTACGGTACGCACTGCATCCATCACAGGATGGCCATTTACACTGTATATTGTCTAGTTAGACTTAACAATTTAAATGATACTTTAGGATTGCAGTGGTGCTCAGACTTAGACAAAAGATTATAATAAAATTATTAAGAAACCTGTCTTACAGTATTTTTTTTCATTTTATTCCTTGTAATACCCTAGTAATATAAATACAAAATACACATCCTTAAGACTTATTTATTCCAAAGATCTCCTTAGAGCGTGTTAACTCATCAACTTCATCTACTATTGCAAAATAGCTGCCCTATGAGTCTCTCTTTCTTCTCCAGCATCCTAGCTTTAGCAAGGCTGTAAAACAGAGAGGGAACTGTTTGGTTTTGTGACAGAGCAGTGGAGCCTGGAGCATTAATAGGGATATGTAAATTGAATATGTGTGCCTATGTGTTCTGGGGCAAATATTGCCCACAGTCAGGAAAGCCTTATCCTCAACCTGAGAGATAAAGAATTATACTATGCAATATAGAGGGCAGGTACCAAGCACCAGTTGGTCAGCCATATCAAGAGTTTTTTTATACTATTTCATCAGTGACATAAATATTGTTAAGTGGAAAAAATGGCCTTTTTACACCAGCTTATTCATATATCAGAGTCCATCTGTATGTCAGCTGCCAGACCTTGCAAATTAACTCTTTTTTGAGAGGAAAGTATGATGCTTCTAAGGTCCCTGTAATCCCGGCCATTTGCCACGCTGCTTCACAGCCCTCGTTCCTCCTTCCCTCCTCACGGAGCCAAAGTGGAACTTTCTCTGCAGAATAGCTGCAGAAGTATTTCTGCCAGTGTTTTGTTTGTTTACTTGCTTTGCAATGACAGATGTAAACACATATGTCACCAGATGTTGTTTTAATTAATTTAAATATGTCTGCTCTCATTTTATTTCCTTAGGGAAGAGGCGTACCGGATCTTAATACACGACTTTTAGTCAGGAAGCTGTGGGATACATTTCAAATTCCTATTTTCACCCTTATGGATGCAGATCCACATGGTAAATCCTCAGAATTTCAAACATAAAAAGAAAAAAAAATAGAATATCTTTTTTCTTACTTCTATGAGAAGGCTTTCTTGGTATACAATGGGCTAATCCAAGACAACCACAGCTTGCTAGTTTGTGCAATTTAACTGAGACATCTGCACTGTTTTAACAGTAATCTGAACCCTGTGCCTTAAAAAAAAAAAAAGTCACAGTGCATTTTATGATCCATAGCGTAAATCCACTGATTTTAATGGGAGTTAGAAACTGGAAGTTTTGGAAGTTTCAGGATATCTTAGCTACATCCTGCATTTGGTTGATTTTTACTGTCCTTTAAGGATATCCCTAACATCTTTCATGGGGACACTATGAGGCAAACCTGAAATTATTTTTAATATTAAAACATGTATGAATAATACTTTAAGTTTAGAAGAAGCAGAATGAAAAATATAATAATTAACTTACAATCAATCTTGAGCCATCATACCTACTAAGGCTAATCCTGAAGAAAGCAGCAAGATCCAAAGGATCTGTCGGGCATGTGTTGTTGATCTGAATGTGTTCACTGTGTTCAATATCTTTCAGCTGCTCCCCATGTGCAGACCCACCCAAAAGCCTCATGTACAGCCACTCTTTCTGCATAAAACAAGCCCATTACATCTGGCTGTGCTAGATTCACTGTGCATGAGTTATTCTATTACATCAGCAGTAAATCTGAGATTTCCCTGAAACATCAGATTCACAAAGAGTAAATTCTCTGTATTTATCTACACTGAATACCACCTGGAAATGAAGGAGATTACTACAAAATACAAAGCAGCTGCCCCAAGCAATTCTGTTGAGAGATACGATTGCAGTGGACAAAGAAAAACCCTTTCAAAGACAGTTGTTGGACACCATGTAAAAGAGCTGATTACCCTTGCTTGTGAAATGACTATGCACAGGCAGTATGAAACATTTAACTATATAAAGGTGCCACATTATGCTCAAATTTTGATTGTATTATTTTGACATGCTTTAAGGATATTGTAAACCATTAAGAACCTTATTAATCATAATGCCATAACTGTTATGTCATAGACTTGAGTTATTAATGCAGTCGTCTTAAGCACACCCAGCACATAGATAAACAAATCCTTGACTTTTGGTATTTGTAAATTAGGTATAGAAATAATGTGCATCTACAAATATGGATCTGTGGTGAGTATATTTTTCCACTTTAAGTATATATTTTTGTAATCCAGTTTTGAAGCTGTGATATGCAAGATGTTATATCCTTTTTTTAGAATGGCTATTGCCCTTTATTGTTGTATTTTAATACCAAAACACAGTTTCAAGGCTCTGTGTATCTGAAAGAACAGCTTCTTCCTGTACCAAAAAGAAAAGAGATAAAAATGGCAGGTGTTTCATTTTGTTATATTTCTCTTGTTTTGCCTGATGCATGGAGTAGTTTATAGTATTTTTATTTTGGTGTTTTGATGTTTTGTGTTTGATACTATTCGGGAAGTCCCAAAAGAAAAGTGTTCTCCATTTTGCTTTGTAGTACACACAGTCCCTGCTCTAGAAGACAAATGAAGACTGGAGGAACTGGGGAGAAGGGAGACGTAACTTGTGAGATGGGTGAACTGCCCAATGAATAATCATATTACATTAGCAAAGATTTTGGTTGGGGATGAGAATTTGTTTGGGGATACATAGGTTAGTGCAGAACATTATGGAGGAAGAGGCCAAGAGAATAGGAAGGCGTCTTGTGTTACATGCTAAAAAATACAGGTACAAGAAGACAATGCAGAAGGTCTAAGGTGAAGGCAGAGAGAAGGAGCAGATAGGTGAACTGTTCCATAAGGCAAAGGAGAAAGAACATCCAAAGTAAGAAAAACTTTGAGAAAACAATCACACATTGATGTCAGAGTTCAAATATATGCTACAAGGTCATATACGAAAGTCGAATTTCCCAAGTGCTCAAGTTTTCAGCCCAATGCTCTTCGAAAAGGGTGTTAACAAAACATCATCTTCCAGGATTAAATGCAACTGTCAGATTCCTTCCTTACAATGCAGTTATTCATAATACAATGTCTAATTTAACTGTGGTACTTAGCTGCTGGATGCTGTAGATGACAAAAATTTTCATGGATTTTGAAAACAACTAGACAAATTCAAGAAAAAAAAAGTATCAAGTATTGCTAAATACAACACCACCATTTTGTCTCAGAAAGTTGGAGCCAATCTTTCTGAAGCATGAGGAGTATTCTGAGGAAAATCTCATTAATTGCCTTTTTTTTTTTTTCCACACTTTTCCTTTAGGTATCTACTGTATCTGTGATAGTGGGCTAGATAAGCCTTTGGTCTGGCAATTTTTATATGATGTGTTACTTTCTAGCATAAAATATGAAAAATTTCCAAGCAGTTTTTAATTGTCATTGCTGTGTCTTAACTCCTGTGTGGTAAGCTGACCTTTCTTATTTTAGTCAATGTCTTTTGAAGCCCATCATCTCACTGTTCCATCTATAAAATGGCTTGGTCTTCTTCCATCCGATCTCCAGAGGTTAGTTATTTCCCCAAAGAAATAGTTATTTCCCTTCTCTTTCATAGTCAGTATATGCAAGTAACAGTGAATCTCACTTAATGCACAGAAAGATGGTCAAATCTATTACTGTTTTCCTACATTACTTTGATTTGTTAGAAGATGGAAACAGCATTTTTAAAGTAGATAAGAAAAATTAATAATTGTGTTTTCTTTTCAGATTAAATATATGCAAAGATGCCCTGATTCCATTCACCCAACAAGATCAGAAGAAATTAGCAAGTATACAAAAAAGGCCTTATGTAGCTCGTCAGCCAGTGTTGAGAAGAGAAGTATGTATAAACCAATCGTCTCCTATTTCTTAATCCCCACGGGCCAAATCCTATCACCTGCAGCCCTCTTCCTCACTGAGATGACTTAGTATAGCAGAATCAGTGAGGTTTGGCCTCTCTAGAAGGCAGCGAGATTGAGAAAGGCCATTGGGAGCCCATGTCTCTGTCCAGCAGGCCTCGATGGGTCACAGGCCAGAACTGCCAGTGTTTTAGGCTGATTCGATGACCCTGGGCTGTACATGGGATTTTACTGCTTTCTTAAATACTGTGGAAGATATTACGTCTTTCAAAGAAGGGGAACGCATAAAGCATTTGCTTGCTCTGTATTTAACTTCTGATCCTGCCTAGAGCTTTTAAACCATATATCTCAATTTAGGCATATATTCTGGTTAGCAAGGAAGAAAAGGTATTGTGTACTTTCCCTCTCCTGTTTATATTTGCTTTATTAACTGCTTATAAATTTGAGAAAATATATTTCCAATATATTTGGGAAGACATAAGAACATAGCATAAAAATCAACCTCAGTTCCATGACAGTGATTTTGCAGCACCATTTCCAGTAATATTCTTTACGGCTCTCTGTACACATCCAACAAATATAATTCTTGTTTGAACAATTATAGAATTTTCAATCAGGCTGTCACAGCATCACAGGTTAATTTGTTCTTTTTTAGCTGGAAATTATGGCAGCATCTAAAATGAAGGCTGAAATTCAAGTTTTAACTTCTCTTTCATCAGATTATCTTTCCAGAGTCTATTTACCAAACAAATTGCAATTTGGTGGATGGATATGAAAGCTTGCTTGCAAATTGTTTACTTGATGCTGATTTATTTTGTAACAAGTGCGTAAAAATAGTGGTTTTTTGTGAGTCGAGTGCTCTTATAAAATCTGCAGAGGGGTTCAGTTTCTTGTTTGTTTTATCATTGTACCTAGCATATAATTTTGATAGTCTCTTTCTCCTTTCAAACACAAGAAATGACAAGTTTTTGTTTTGTTTCTTCCATTCTCTGGCTACTGCACTGTAGCAATTTCAAAGGCAGTGGGAGGTACGTAAAAAAGAGATTTCAGTATGTTCTTTGTAGAGAGAAAACATGAAGTTATACTTGCGGCTTAACAATATGCCAGAGGCTGGCCGCCCCTCTGTCTTAAAGCACAGCCACACAATGCTGTTGTACCATCCTTTTCGCAGAGTAAAGGCCTGGCACTGTCTGCTGCTGGAAATTCTAAGTACAGACCTGTGGTATTTCGTGTTTACTGGACGCAAAACTGTCCAGTCTTGGCTGTTAATTCACGCTGAAAAGCCAGGGATGACACTGCTTTACTGCACATTTCAAGCAGCTGTAGATGTGCAGGGAACCAAATTACTACCTGACCTTGCTTCAGTGAGCAAGGGAACAGCCAGGTGTGGATTTAATAAACAATCCTGCTGATGTTGCACAGCAGAGCCCTGCGCTCACGGCCCTGTGTAGCTGCCTCCCAAGCAGAAGGACCAGGGACGGAAGCACACACTACCTACATCTTACATGGAAGCAAATGGGAAAATGAAAATTAAAAAGTCCCTTAGCACTTTCGGGAACGGAAAGCGCTTCCGCAGCCCTCGCCAAGCGTTTTCGGCACCGCGCCCGGCCCGTTTTCAGGCTGCTCCCCCAACGCTAACGGCAGAA